TGTCTTTGTCCAATCAAATGAGGGGCTGAAGTGGGTTTGGGGTTTTTGTCTGGGGTAGAGTAGTCCTTTCAGGAGCCATAGCAGCATGGGACATAGTGTCAGCATATAGTAAGATAAATATCACTTTTCAACATATTTAAATTGAAATAACTTTTTTAGAAAAAAAAAAAAAAAAAAAAACATTTGCATGTGCATCGGTATGGAAAGAAATATATTTGATTGTTTAAAGACATATTTTGTTTTCATTTATATACTAAATCTGTTTTTTCATTCGTTGCCTCAGGGCAACATTGTGCAGTAACCACTTTTGTTAGGGCAAGATCATGCTAAAGCGTGGACATGTGTTAAGATGCATAATTATGACCATAGTCAATGGTTTGGTTTACTATCTACTGATATTCACAGGAAATGGACACAATAACATTTTATGCGAGGAAAGACCGTGATCGAACAGTTAGGTTCATTCCTTCAGATAGGACAGTGAGGACAGTGAGCTTGACGAGTGTGACAGTGAGGAAGTGTGGACACCAGAATCAGGTATGAGAGGCAGTTAGGAGGTCAGGGGTCAATCAGTTGAGTAACATCATGTGTGATGTGTGCGGGTGTGTGAGCGCATGTGTGCATGCACGTTGGTGGGTGGAGAGGTATGAGACACATTCTAAATTTATGCTTCCTGCCTGTTGATAACGAGCCTGGATGAAGATGTTGATGACATACCAGAAGATGATGTTCCACTCTTACCCCAGTGGAGAACACAGTCCTACAATGCCAACTTCACTGCTTCCCCAGAATGGCAGGGCAACCATCGAAGATCAGATGATCATGTCCCCCCTCCAGTGTTTGTTTCTGAAGACATTCTGGAAGTAGTTGTAGAGCAGTCAAATCTATATACTATACATTGTGACTGAAACAAGCCCCTTAACCTCAATGCTAAAGAATTGGGGCAGTTCCTGGGTACTGTGGTCTACATGTTATTGTTTGGATTACCAGGCACTCGCATGTTTTGGCAAATAGCCAGCCAAGTGGCCCAAGCATCTGACATCATGGCACTGAATAGATGGGAGGCCATCAAAATATTCCATCACTTCCACAACAATGAAGAGAGACAGAAGAAAAATATTGATCCACTCCACAAGATCCGACCACTGGTCACACCTTACCTCAAGACGATCCTAATAGGTGAGAAGCTGACTGTAGATGAGCAGATGGTCCCATTCAAGGGAAGAAACAAACTGAAGCAATACCTGCCAGCAAAATCAAGGAAATGGGGCTACAAGGTAATCGTCTTGGCTGGCTCTGACAGTGTCCTGCACAAGCCACCTGCCCCAGCCTATACCGAAGCAAGAGAATTATAAGTTCTTCTTCGACAATTGGTTCATGAGTGTCCCTCTTGTACTCTCACTGGCTCAGCAGGGAATTCACTGCACTGTTCCTGTTCACGGAAACAGACTAGCAGGTGTCAACTTGATGTGCGATGCTCAGCTGAAGAGAACAGGTCGTGGAGCTTTTGAACAGAAGATGGCTATGGTTGAAGAAAGTACCTTGCATGTTGTGAAGTGGCATGATAACCGCTCAGTGACACTTCTGTCCAGTCACCAAGGTTGACAGGTGGGATGGCAAACAAAAGTTGATCCCCAAAGTCTCCTGCTCTGCTGTGGTGAAATAATATAAAAGAATGGGTGGGGTGGATCTACTTGACTTGCTGAATGAACTGATTAAATTAGCTGTGGCTAGCAGGCAAATCACAGGTTTATATTAATGCTCGCGTTGTAAATTTCTCTAGTAACAACTCATTCACAGAGACTTATGAAGTATGACATTTTGCAATTTTAAAATAAATTTCTAAAAAGTCAGCAAAAGTTAATGCATACGTTTTTGATATTGTATAGTTTGAACAGACAACTAGTCAAAATCCTGGATGATTAGATGAAGCAAGTGCTTATTCACGGTCCACTTTCTGTTTATACCATGACATAAATTGATTGCATTTTATGCAGCAGTAAGTCTATGGTGAAAAAGAAATACTGAAAAGTATTTGATTGGGGTAGTGACATGTAAATGCACAAAAAAAATTAGTCCAATGGAGAAGGCCCCTTAACCCTCACCCGCTACCTATATTATTGGATTCGATTCTCCCAGCACTTATACGTTGCTTTGGATAAAGATACCAGCCAAATTATTACAGTATACGGAACGTGTAAATGTAATGAAAATTCTTTGATGGTCTGTATACCAGAGCTGTTCTTTATGGTACCTTATTATACAAAAGGTTATGAAGCATCTTAATGTTGAATATGTTTTTACTTCTATTAGCTAATGACTGTGTACAAAGTATCATACAAACAAAACCTTCACACACACACACACACACACACACACACACACACACAGAGAGAGAGAGAGAGACAAATACATATTACCAAGGAAATTAGGGGCATTGGAAGGTGCTTATTACTTGGCCTAATGCTAAAAAAGAGAGAGAGCAGAAGCAGGCCAGAAAAGCAATATACCAGGGGAGTAGAATTTAATTTCCCTCTGGTTTGCAGATGCC